CTCTTGGTCCAAGTGGTGAAGCTCAGACCCCCCGCGTCGCGTGCCCACTCGTCGAGCCGGCCCCGACGCCTGGTTTATCAACCGACTACACGCCTCATGGATTGCTCAACCAATCTATATATATATATATATATATATATATATATATATATATATATATATATATATATATATATATATATATATATATTTTTTTTTTTTTTTTTCACGTATTGATTCACGGATGGAAAAATGTGATGATACTATATTCCGGGATATCATCCGTTCGCTTGTTGAACTCCGACTGGAGTCCATCCTGCAGACGTTTCGCCAAAATCTCACTTGGCATCTAAGGCTTAAATTAAACATATCTATATGTATGCCGTTTTGAAATACACAATTATTAAAAGTCCGAACACATCTTATTATAGGAGAGTTAGAACAGTAATTCGACCCAAATCGATCAATAGGAAACGTCAGTGTTGTTCGCACTTGATATAAATTAGTGACGTTTGTTTAGTAATCGTTACAATTATAATCGCTAAATTGTTTGCTAATTGTTTCCACAAGTATTTTTAAAAGATAATTATTTAAGAGCTCCTAAAAACTAACGTATTGTATGAATTAAAAATTGATTTTGACAATTTTAATTCTGAAGAATTTCCATTTTGACCATTGTATAAAATTCACGATGAGTCTGAGGGGATAGATGAAAAAATTGCCTTAGAACTTCGCTTCTGCAGTAGGTATCCTACATCGTCGTACTTTATTTCAAACGGCTCTTAAAATCCAAGCAATTTCTCTCTTTGGGAAACGGCTGCTATTACTCATACAACAATAATTAAAAGACGATTTCGCTCACTAATTTACTTTCACGAACTTCTAGGCTGCTACTCTGTTCCGTTTTTATGCGTCTTCACATCAGACATAATGGCCGTCTGTAATTTGCGGTAATAGCACAAGGTCATCGGAATTACCGTTTTTCGCTAGCTAATGGGGTCTTTGCACCCATCGTTGCAGTAGATTTCTTCAGGTATAGTTGCTTTCGAACGCCTACAAGTACCGTATGGTAACCGAATATTCAAATTACACTCGAGTATAAAACTCTTGTGTTTTGTGATGATAAATTTTCAGATAGGCACCGATAACAAAACGCTAGCGTGTTAACCTTTAAATCCCTTCGACGTTTCAACTGTCCAAACTCAATTAAGGTTTTCATTCGATTCGACGAAAAATAAAGTAAATAAGTTAGACTCTAATACTGTTTGTGATACCCGAGAAAATCTCATTTATTTTCAATGTAAGGGTAATTCAATTTCGCAGACGTCCCCGTCCTAATTCAATAACGCGTCCTGACGACGGCTGTTCCGATTTTTAAGTCATTTTACCCATTTGGTCATTCCCAGCGGAATGCCTATAAATATTACTTAACTTGACATTTTTCGTTATCTGGATAGGGATTTTAATTTACAATACCACACTACCGCGCCACCATCGACTTCTACCTCGTACTCTACCTCACAGCTTATAAGTTTTCTACTAACTCTAGAATCGAGGTGTAGTGGAACATCTTTACAAGCTTCCTCCTAACAAAAGGTGTAAAACGGGGTTATTATTGATGCCGTTGAAAGTCTCTATAACCAGTTATGATTTATGGGTCATAGATTTACGTCATAGAAAAAACTGAAAATACTAACGTACTGACGATGACATTGCAATTAGCTTATTAGAAAAAATCTGTATTTTAATTGGATAATAACGAAAGGCAAGAAAAATTAGTTTTTGCGGATTACTTATCGCTTATTATTTACAGCTTTGCAGTATTCTGCAAAAGTAGGTCAGGCTATCTTATCGTTAGTTATCTAATTGTTCCATTTCAAAAGTGAACTCTTAAAAAAGCATTTATTTTTTCGTAAAAGTTTATTATTTGATATTACACCACAGATCGCATAATATTTGCCAGATGGATCCGTTTGCAATACCACTGTACCACTAGTTTCGGAAAGTCTTGGGAAATATTAATGAGCCTTCGATTAATTAAGAGCAAGCTATACAGCTATTCTGGAGGGCTATTGCTTGTGTAACACACTCCAATTCAGGTTGAGTTTCTCTTATTGAGTTAACTAAATCCACCCACAAGGGAGATCAGTTGTAACTGGACATGACGGAAGGTGGAAGGATGTGCCTGCTTAGGATTTCTTGCTGTGTGTACCGTCCGTAACTTGTTTGGGTGTATTGGGTTATCACAGGTCAAGAGTCTCAAGCAAGGATGCTTTTAGAATTAATTTTAGCGCATGCCTAGTTTGTCCATTGTTTTGTTTCACTATTTTTAATTAAATTAAATATGAAAAGAATATGATTTCTCCAAGTCCAATATCATCAATTATTTTGTTTATACGTCAGGTTATATTTAGATTTTAAGGAAATTCCTCCCGAAATACCTGTTATTTTGGAGAAGTAGGGAAATTTTCTTATTTTCCTTTCATTTCAAAGTATTGCAAATATTTCTTTTTATAATATTAATATTTGTTCCTGCATAGGTAAATTTTAATTAAAATAAAATTTAGTTACCATTTAACCCTAGCAGCCTGTGGTTCAGATTCATTATTTCATTACAAATTTCTCATTGGAAGGAATATTTCATGATGTAAATAATAATAATATTAATGACACTAAATAATAATAAATTGTAAACACGGCGTATATATTGGCTCCAGGCTTCACATACTGAACCTCATCGGGATTCCACACAAATTAAAATATACATCTAAGTATTTAAACAAATAAGATATTAAGCATATGGTAATGGTTTCACGTTTGTCATGTGGTGTCATGGTTGAATGTAAGATATACGAAGCAATATAAATTTCTTTACTTATCTGTCCAAGGCTTGTCAACTTAACAAAATCGTGCAAACATGCATATTATATGCACACCTCGGATACACTTTTCTTGTATTCCAGTCAGAATGGTCCCCATGTACTCGACAATATTAAATTTTTACTGATCCTTGTAGCAAATCATTAACTTCTTTATCGGAATTAGATCAACGCAATTGTGTTCTAAGATTTTCAGTTAGTATTTATAGTCTCAAGGTATAACGGCAATTATCCAAATAACTTTTTTACAAATGTTCTATTAAGTTGAATATACAATGATATGGAGGGCGTATGCCCCATCTGTTCGGCTAAACTATCACATAGATATTGTTTTTTAATAGCGAATGAATTTAACACCTCCGAAAGTTGCCCTTTCCTGTAACTGGATTCAAAATAAATATCATTCTGTAACATGTATTCTTGAATTTCAGTTTTTATACGGGATGAATTTAGTGCTTTTTGTAGCAGGTAGTTGTGATCCCGTGCTTTATCCGTTAAAGTCTGTTCATATATGTAAGAAAGTGACTAACTGATAGGAATTAAGGAAAGACCCGGTCAAGCTGTAAGAATGAAATATGGCCGAACCGGTCCGTACTTTGCTTAGAATTTAATTATTTGGGGTTTTGTTAGGAAACTTACTAAACAATATTTATTTATTTATGCATGTATCTAAATCTAAAAAAAAATTACAAATTATTTTTATTACCTACTTAAATTACTTCAAATTATTCACATAATGTATCAGTATCACTATCACTATCATCGCCTGTTGTAATTATTATTTGTTCTATATTATTTGTAGGTTCAAGCTTTATAGAACCTCAATGAATTGCTTTTTGGTATAATCTTCGTGAAAATAAATGTCGTTATTATACATGTAGTTTTGGATTGTTGCTTTTGTGTCAGATGAGGAAGGGGTTTTAGTTTGGAACTAGTTTGTTTTTAAACCAACTTTCAAATAAATCAGCTGTGGTGTATTCATGGTAATCCAGAGAAGAATCTTTAATATTTTTCTCAGACACAGAAAGTCCATTTGGAATTTTTGATGGCGCGTTTTTGACACTTATCAGTTGAGTCAACCCAACCCTTTTCCGGGGTATCATAAGTGTCGAACCAGGTTTCATCCAAGTAAATAATTGGCCTTGGTTGTTCTGTGTAAATCCTATTTTTTTCTGGAAAGATTCCAATTTGTTTAAATCTAAAACCCATGTGTTGAATACACTTCCATAAGGTAGTTCTGCCACATTTAACACCGGTTTCATCTTTTTCAGGCCTCCTAATTAAGATATCTAATGTAGGCATGCTTTGTTCCTCGTATAACTGGTAAATTTTACGTCGTATTATATCTTGAGCATTTTCATCTACACATGAGAAAATGTCAGCATCGCTTCTTTTTTTTCCTCGCTGAAATGGGATTATTTACAATTTTCCATACAGTTGATGTTGGAATTTTCGTCAATGTGTGTCTTTTAAAGATGCTTGCTTGCTGGCACCACGTTCAATGAGAGTCAAATAAACATTGTTTATAACTTCCTTAGTCTCAAGAGAATAGTGTTTTTTACATTTGAGCGGGAGCATCTCCTGAGATACACTAGGCTCGCGCATATTTTGCATAATTCGCACACGATTCACACGCTGTATTGCACACGAAATAAGAATGATTACTAATAACCTTAAACTAAGTAGTATACCAAACCAAAGAATATTAAACACAGCTAGGTATAAAATTATTTTCTATTACAGACCACAATTTTACCTGAATTTAAATTCCGAAACTTTAGGTAATCTTGTTGCATTGTATGTTAATGACCACCCTTGGATAATCCCATTCAAAAGCAATTGGTCACTTTCTTATATCTATGAACAGACCATACCTATGAATACATTATTCATTGTTAGGTGTGTACTAAGTCACAAAAGGGATGAAGGTTGTTAATTCTTAGCAAGCTTTTGCGACACATTTTACTCAACACAGAAACATACTGTAGTTAAACACTGTCGATCCCTAAAACGAACGAAATAATTGCGGAGTTGGCAACGGCGCGATTGCGGTCCTTCGAGCCGGTCGGCGGCGTAGTAACGTTCGGCACACAACAATCGAGAATCGCTATCTTTCGACTGTCATCGCAGAAAACAGCTGAACCGGCGTCTGACTACGGCGCACGTTATGTTTTATGTGTGTGTGTGTGTGTTTGTGTGAGTGAGTCGGTTGATTCGGCCAACGCTCGAAACGATATTCAGACAAGTCCGCCAGAAACGGCGCGTTTCTTGTTGCGTTTGTATCGCGCGTTCGGTGGCGCAACGAGATCGTTCGAATCCGGGAAAACTTTCGTCGTACGCTCACAAAATTTCGCACACCCGGGAGGAGGAACGCGATTAGTTTCTCGACCGGCGAAAAACGCGGGAATTGATTAAAGTGTCGTTAGCGCGCTCTGTGTTTTGCCTACTGCCTGGTTTCGCGTACATCTGCAAGATTAAATTTGGATTACTTTGATTGAAAAGAGGAAGACACCGCCGATGGTTAGTTTCGACCTTTTAATAATAACGCTGCGCGCGGACGAGAGAGAGATTGCACTCGCACGAAACCTGTTTAAAACGTTTACCGTACCGCTTGCCTTATCACTTGTTATATCATTAAGGCGTCTGGGTACGGGAAAAAGGAGCACCGCGCTAAAGGTCACTCGCAAATGTTTAGAATTTATCGGTCTAGACACCCTGAATTTTTACATCAATTCGCGCCCGAGTTTCACCGTATCCTTTATTAGACCGCACGAAAATACGAAGAAGTGTTTGATATCGTTTGGATAGTTGGAAGGTCATTTCTTAGCGATCCGAGCGATTTTATGGACCGAGTGGTACATAGTTTTTCGCATATATCGCTAGTGACTCGAACAAGTTATTGTTGTGATGTTGGTCATTGGTCTTGCCAATTGGTCAAAAATGAAGGCATGAGTAATTACGAAAAATTCAAACCGGTACGGTTGGAACAGTGCATAATACTATTCTAACAATACTAATGCTTGCAGTACTGACAAATTCAGGTAACCCCTCACCATTTCATTTCATTCAATTATTTTCGTTATATCCGGAATATGAATAAATCTTCAAATCTTCCGTAAATGGAAGCGTGTTCAACGATTATCAACAATCACGTGGAAATACCAAACTTCAACTTGTCAGTACTTGTTACATGAACGTGATAGTACGATTCTTGCAAGGTAGCCCTGAGCGCAGTTCATAAAAGATTTTGACCAGGTCAAAATCTCTGACCGCGGTCAATCGGCTAGGTACAACTTTAGCCAGAGGTGATAGAGATAAAATATAAATACGAATTTTCCTGTTTTTGTTTTGTAAACTTTGTTGAAAATGTAAGAAAGAAGTTTTGATCTTTTAAAATATCGAATAAGTCTAAAATTACATCTTAGTATTTGCTAAATAGTTTATTGTACTTAACATGTTAAGCCAATTCTCATTAGCAAATAGCTTCAGCTGTAAAAACTTGTTTTTCTTTCTGCGCATTATCGCAGAATTTCGTTTTGTTGTTCATCCATCAAGTTAAATTTAATGTCCAACCGAATCGACCTTTATGGAAAAGTTTCCGTTACAACTTTATTAACTTCCACGTAAAGTTATTCAAACTTTTTATTAGAAACTTTCGAGTAGCCTAAAGGCGGAGGTTGCGGTTAGTTGCTGATGAAATAGTTAACAACGGCAATTCCAAGATACGAATTTTATATCAGATAAGTTTTCAAAGATTCCCACAAACATCGCCAGCAACTTTTCCAATGCCGAATGCTAAAACTTGCCTCATTAAATTGAAACGATAGTGAAACAACGGGCAGTGAGGCAAAAAAAATCGCAAAAACATTAAACATTTTTCCTAGCAGCCATGAAAAATTTGGAAAGTAAAGGCACATTGCCATCACAAATTTAATTCGGAAATGTCACGGTAACGAAGTTTGCCAGTTCTGGCCGGTTTTAATGCGAACATAAAAATATTTTCATTCATAATGCGTAAACATTAGGAAAAAGAACGCGTCATCGGAAAATTTCCATTGAATTTTGATACGTGCAATTATCGAAAACGTGCACAATTTTTGACGTACTTTCGGTTTTAAAGTCGCAGGTATGGCGACTTCATTGCGGAGAGACCACGTCTCTAAATTTACATTCATCATTTGTTAAATTGTTGTCGAGCATCCGGCCATTATATAAACAGTGAATGAAGCATACAACAAAAACTGCAATACGCCTTACAGTAGGGCTCTGATTATCGGATGACTTGTAGTACTATCGCGGTTTTAAGTGCCTTTGTATTTTTGATTAAAAAATATTGTTAAATCTTTTATATGGACAAAATTTGACCAACGGCTATAAACTGGAAAATTTGGAGAAATCGTGTTTCTTCTTGCTAAAAAAGCTTCTATATGAAAAACTTATTAATATATAAAGTGCTTGTAAGTTTTCTTATGGTTGAATTCTAGAAAATATTTTAAATATAGTCCTTCAAATTCGTGGTTGTATCAAATGTCGGTGAATTGCACATTATATCAAAAATAAAATAGACCACAAGATACATTGTATAAGATGTTAACGCTGCCAAGCGATTGCACTGTTGACTTTCATGTTGTATGTAAATAAAGAGTGACCTAACGTAATCTCGACGTATTTTTATGACCCAATGAAAGTTTTGGTTAGAAATAAGCACCCAACTAAGAAAAAGAAGAAATGCTAAGTTTACAGCCTCAACTGCAACTCAGCTTGTATATATCATAATGTTATGTGCTGGGTTTATTTTAATTGTGACCGTGAATTTAGTATCGCATTGACCTTCCACCACAAGTTCCAGTTTTTGGATGGCGATGGAGTAATAGGAAATAGTCCAGATGACGTCAGTTAACGTTGGCAATTATCTGAAAATATAGATGACCACAAAACTTAAGATCATGGAGACCAAAAAAATGAACCCACCGGAATAATGAAGAGGGTTCATAAGAATAATGTCACAGAATTGGACAGAGGAGGAAACGAAGACTTTTTATAATTATAAATGTAATACCAGAAACATTGAAGATTATAGAATCATCTGAATAAACTGACGGATGCTTTATTCAAAGTTTGATATAAAGCCACAGTGGGTTTGTCGATTTTCGATTGTTTTTTTTTCAATTTTTGCGGCAAGCGAATATTTCAATTTGCCACAGATTGAGAAACTGCCAGAAATTTATTACGGATTCTCCATAGTTACATATATTTTGAATTATGAGTGAAGAGTTGACACCACAAAAACATCAGTTATGATTGAGGTCTGCGAAATGAATGCACTAAGAAGAATCGTGGGAAAGACAAAGATTGAGGCAGGTTGTTGACAACGTCCCTTTGGGAAAGAGATGTCGTGGTCGACCAAGAAAGAGGTGGAAGGACACTCTGGATTGAACAAGTCCTAGACCTAATAGAAATAATAATAAATATTTTACATCTTGCATGGTTACCGTAACAACCATTCATATTGAGGTAACACCCCTCTCCCACTCACTTCTTGCCTGATTGCGAACATGTGCATTACAATAATGAATGACGTATGCGTCTGTGGTGTACAGGGTAACAGTTATATAATATTAGTTCGATTTTAAAACACACAAATCTTTCAAGTAACCACGTATTTTCCTAATTAGCCGTTATTTCGTAACAAAATTGGCTGCGGAATCGGCCCACTAACCGGCGCTTCGGTGTCAAAAGTTTAGCCATTGTGTTTTTTGCGTAACCTTGGGACGGAACGCCGCGCTGTCACGCGCGTTTTCATTTCAAATGCGCGAAAGTAATACACGATTCACGATCGCGTTTGGTCTGGCGCCGACGAAAACAATCAAGTGTAAACTACGCAGTGCGATCGATACATTTGTGCAATTGGTTGATTAACGATAGCCGCCACAAATAATGAAAAAAAAACTTGTGTTGTTCCCGCGGCACGATAAACAAACCTGACCTCAAAACGAACTAGACGTTTATGGACGACTTTTTTTATTTACAGGTGAAATTAGAAAAAAAAGTAGCAGCCATTGTCGTAATCGTTTTTTATTTCTAATTCCAAATGTGAAAATTATATGTTTTCTTCTGGGGTATAAGTTGATGATTTTTGGTAGGTAACATTTGATGATAGTCTCAATTGTTATATCTGTACAAAAGTATTTCAAAGACATCGATTGATGTAGATTGAAGGAAGTAAGATGTTTCGAGATGATATCTCGGATAAAACTTTATAGTCGAAGGTTAGATATAGATATTGGATAATAACGTGTAAATCATACAATAAGAATGTGTCACTTGCAACCACTTCATTTATGTTTTTCCTGGATAAAATTTTCGTAACTTTGGAACAATAAACCAAACTAAACGTTTCAGTTGTTTTGGTAAGATTTGTCATCTTCAAAATTTTAACGCTTCTTTGTTTTTCTTCGTCTTTCGTCCCTCTGCCTTCCAGTAGTTTTTCTTCTATGCTGTCTTCTGCTGGATTGTCGTTTGCCGCTTTGGTGATTCCATGATATTGGGCAGAGGTCTGAAATGTGTGGATGTTTCATTTCACTTAATTTATTGTTATTAATGTTTTAAAAAGGCAAAGCGAATCATCAGAAAACAATGAAAAATATCAGTGATTCAACCTAATATTGTTATTATTGTTATTATTCTTATAAACGTCTTTATTCACCATAAATTACAAAGAAAAAAAAGCAATGAAAAATATAACAATTTCATTACATGGTGAAATGGTGAAAAGGTTTGATTGCGTAGTTATGATAGTCCTCTGACAATTTATTGTAAAAACTAGGAGCCACATAAGAAAATGACCGCCTGTACGCTGCAGAGGTGTGACACGGGATTATCAACGGCCTAATTTTGCCGGTATGATAAGAACTGACGTTCTCAAATCTGGCCAATTTCTGGTATAAGTATGTTGGTCCCCCCGAAATCATAATCTTGTGAATCAAGCATTTGCAGATAGCTAAATGATATCTAAGCCTTTAGTTGTCCTACTGTAGGGCAACTAAATACCTATTGTCTTTCCATTGAAAAGTTTCTGAAGCAATGTTGTTCAATCGAAAGCCCAGAATTAAAAGTTACGGCATTTATCGTGTATAATACCCAGTGGATATGAACTACATTACTGTTTCGCTCCCTACTGTTCACGTTATGAAACCAAATATTTGCTGAACGAGTTTACCTCTGGAATTTGTTTGCGTACACCATGTGAATACAAAGTCGTTAGCAATATCCCGCCGACATTCGTACCAAATGATTTTTGCGTTCGGTTTGCTAACCTGAAAAAAAAATATTTTCGGCAATCCGGCCAATTCTATATCAATATCAATATCCCCAGCAGTGGCGCACCCTTTTCTGAAGAGTTTATTAATAATATCACATGAAAAATTGTTATTAGTACTTGTGGAATGAATATTGTATTGAACTTGGAAGTCGTGAGAGGTATCTCGAAGTCAACTTTTCGAGGAATCCACGTATCGTCT